CGTATTGCCGTTATATCCAGACGTAGGAACCTGATTGGGATACGTATTTTTAACACTTATCGACCCTGATGCTGGATTGACGTATTTTATCGGAGTCACTGAAGGAAATATTAAATTCGAGTCCACCTTAGTCCGCTCTGTCGGAATTATCACTTGAGTCCCAACAGGGTTAACCTGCCCGTTTATAACACGCGCTGGGATGGCATTTGATCGCATGTTGGACGCGTTTAGCTGTGGAAATTGTTGTAGGGGCCGACCGGAAGTAACAGCATCATAACCCGTTCTCAAAGGCTGCACCGCAGGAGGCATGCTACTTCCAAGTTCCTTGTTTATAGATGTTAACTGTCTGAGTTTTTCAGAAAAAGGAAACACTCTGTTTCCTTCCATAGAAGTCGTTCTTTGAATTTGCTGTTTAAAGTAGGAGGTAACCCTTACATGTTCACGGACATTACTTTCTTCCGTTGCGGTGTCTACGAAGTCAAAACAGAGTAAGTGGCGTCAGATTTGTCCATTAGTGCTCTTTCTGACTTAATTGATGGGCCATTGATTCAGACGTAAACAAGATGAACGAACATTGACGTTACCTCGCTTAAGACATGCAAGACAATGCTGATGTTTAGCCATTGACCACCGAAAAAGATACAATTCAAATACAGGATTTAACTCGCAACACTACTATTAACAAAGAGCTTCAACTCTTAGAGGCAAAATAGAGTGATTACCTTCATATTTGGTTCATGAGTTAAATTAATACATGTAACTTTAGGGGTGACTGAAGTTTGCACAAGGTAACCTCATTTATATAAGAATTTTCAAACATCAATCATGGTCAGCGAGACACCATGCCGCATTGACAAATTCTAGAGTGTTCTGGTCTGTTCCCTCAAGCACAACATTCACATGTAAAAACAAGAAGCCTTGAGAGAAAACCTGTTGTAACGACTGTGCTAGAGAAACACTCGTGAGCACAAAAACGATATATATTACACGAGGCAAACTAAAATTCACATACTCGACGCCTTCTGTTTTTCTTCCACTGCTGTCGGACGAGCGTCCTTCGCCGATCCTTTCCCATTTGGTACAGTTTCGACGATGCGGTTTTGAGCGAAGGTAGCGGCAGATCGAAAGTTGTTGTTGATATGCTCGAATACAGAACGTTCATTTCTCAATTCTGACGCTGGTTCAGAGCTTTCGTTGTTGAGGGTCGTGGCAGCTGTCAGGAGACAAACAGAGTCACACAATTAATAATTGAACATTGATAAGTTACATATGAATACATTAGCGCAACCCTCACCACTCAGTTCTTGAAACGATCCTTGATTTGGTTGGTATTTCCAACCGCGGTACTGAATCCGACACTAATTTCTAAATAATCGTATCACCAATAGGAATGAAAATGATGATGGAGAAGAATTTCCTACCTACGAAACTTTACAATCTCTTCAAGTACTGTTCTAATATAGTAATTGTACCAGTAAAATAATTCGTCGTTGATAAATTTTTCCTTATCGAGGATCTTATTCAAGTACTGTTGTGACATATTTCAGACAAGGTGACGAAATATTGAAGAAAAACTTGTCGTATGTTTTTATTCTATCTACCCAAGAAAGGAAAACATGTCAAGGGTGAACTTGTCCAAGAAAAGCCACTAATGTAAATACACCTTTAGAGTTAAAGTTGGGTGATTCTGATGACAGTTTCAAGCCCGATTTCTAAGTTTAGATTTGCATTTGACCATAGCATAAGATCAGCTCATCACACAACTACGACAAGCATGTTGGTCTGTAAATCATACTAGGGATAAAACTCACCGATAGCTTCACACATCACTAAAACTGTCCTTCTATTATCAAACATAATTTAAAATTCTGTATGAATTTTAAAACCTGCATAATGTGCTTGGAACAGGAAACGTTCCTGACGTATACAAGGACTGTGAATAAGAACAAAACTCCGTGTACGTACCCTGTACATCATTTTTATTTGCATGAAAACAAAAATAAAATATTTTACATGTCAAAGGCTTTGTATTTACACCCCAATGTACATGTAAACAGAGGTTTTGAATACCTCGAAAATGGCCGATTGTAATCTCGCTCCTAACCTTTTAAACCCTAGAGTGACCAGCATGCAATTTCTCATAACAGTAATATTGCTGAATCATTCATTACGATCATGAGAATATAAGAAATGATCGCCAACATAAGAAGCTTTGATTGTAAAATGAATTCTCCATGTCAGCATCAAAGGAAATGTATAAAGAATGCAGAATGACACGGAGAATATAGATACTGATGTTGAGGTGTATCGATCTATTTTTTTGACAATTCAGGTTTTTCTTTCCCTATGAATGCAGATCACCTCTCATAAATTCAATAATGCCTCACCTAGAGTCACGTCATGATATTCAACGTTCAGGTTTTTCCTGTCGAGGAATAAATTCAACACCAAAGGTACACAGTTAGCGTAGACAAACATGTATATGTAACCTTAAGAAGAGCGAGAAAAGAATAAAAAAGAAAAAATGGACTTTTAGAAAACTTTTGTGCGCAGAAAGCACAACCACTCTTACAAGGCTCTTAATTACATAGAAAAGGAAAGACAGAGAGAGAGTTATTGCAAGAATAACCCGAGGAAGAAACAAAATAATTTGCTTTATCAGAGTTCAAGCGTGCAAGTTTAAATAAAATTTTCCTTTTAAAGAAACATACGAGAAATATCGAATAATCGTACAGATAATCATTTCACGGTAGTTAAAATAGTTCGTTACACTCGTCAAAGAATTAGTGTGACGTGAACAGCTGTGTAACGGTTGATTAAATAGTTGTGTGACAGTCTACATTCCCATCGTACCTTACAACCTGGACAGTTGATTCAGTCACGCCATTGACATCTCCCATCTGCGTAAAGAAGAAAAAATACTGTCACTGCCCTTGGCTGCGTATAGCAGAGATACGGTTCGAATTGATATCGACACTGCATTTACTGATACTTGCCGGAATTTCGCGTTGTAACACCACTTGTTCGCCGTTATAGCGTGTTTCAGCTTTTACTGCGGGGGATTGTTTTAAGTTATCCGCTAAAATCTTCACGAACTTATTTCGGTCCGCATATCTGAAAACAATCAGAAAAATAAAAAAAAATAGACAGTCAGAGACAGTATGGGCGACTGATATAGCACAATTTTCATAGCATTGAAAAGAACAAGAGGTTGTGTAATAACGCTAGAAGGTAGTGTTGCAAAGATACGGTACGACTCAGAAATAAACTTGATATCAACACCTAAAGGAGGCAGTAGCCTCAACAGTTACGAATCATTAGTCACAAGCGTGAGACAAAAGCAACAATTCAAAGTTTTTCACGGATAATTAACCTCAGCCGTTGTATTATCCACACATCATCAAGCAAACGTGTAATGAGAATATTAAAACTTATTGAGCAGAAGTTGTTATCTGGATCTGACACCAAATTCTCCTAACTTATTTACGATGAAATGTCGAGCTGCTGTAGGGGAGAATCAATCAGAGTTAACTGAAGTCATATACTATTAAAATCCACATGCGTCTAGTATCTTTCCTTTTGCTTGTGATCGAAGGCGTCTTGTTTGCAAATTAGAAGAGAGATGGTAAATTTAAATTTGGCCATCGGAAAAACAAAGTATATCACTCATATTCCCAGAACACGTAATAAAACGAAAATCAGGAATATGTCTGCAGAATAAAAATTGAGGCTCCTGTAAAAAATGAGTAGTACATATTCTGAATTTCAGCAGTCTCTTTTTTTTTTTCTCATCTTTGCTACATGAAATACTCATAATTTCTTCCTTCTATGGGCAACCAGGCCTTTCTATTAGTTAACTTTCAACTGTAAATATTACACGTTTGGCGATAAATGGTAATTCTTCGATTGTAGCATTCAGATAATTATATTCACGTTGTAGCAACGATAGTTATAAACGCTTTGATGCAAGCTGCTGAAATCATAAATATGTCATTCGATAGTCGACCGTGATCTAACACAGAACACTTTACGTGAGACCGCTTGAGGCAAACTTATAAAAAATAATCGATCACAGAAAAACTGTATCTAATTCAATGGCTTATCTTCCATTAGAATCAAAACACTCTCTTTTATTAAAATTACTTTAAAATGCTGACTGTTTTAACCATCTGTTTTACTAAAACATGCAAAACACACAACGCCCCAATGGTGGAATAATACACGTCAGATGAGGGTGTTTGAGATGTTTAATATTAAGCATTAAGTCAACCTTTCCCAATTCTTATCGTACCACAGCAATTTTTCTTCTTCGAAACAAAGTCACAGAAAAAACTCAGTTGGTTGGGACAAACTTAATATACTAATGGAGCCATTCGACTAGGTTCGATCGCGACGAAGTGTTTCGACAATTTCTTTAAAATTCGACCGTTTTCGAATTCAAAACCGTATGACGATCTAGTTCGATTGCCCACGCTGGGATTTCTCGATCAATCTTTATTTGTAAACCAAATCTTTTGCCCTGAAACAAAGATTTAAATTAAATGCAATAATTTCTTGCGGTTTCCATTCCCAGGCAGTAAAGGAATTGACAGGCAAATCTAATTACACGTACCTTTGAATGATCTTCTCAACACTATTGCCACCATTTTGAACAGAATCATCCGGGACATCGTTGGAGCAAGATACGTCCGCGATATCGATCACTCGTGGTGCAGCGGTACCCTAAAACCCAGGGATAATAATAACCTGCTAGGCAAACCGTTCATCCTTTAGTTTCTATCTTGAGAAATAAGGTAGAGCGGCTAAACTTTAAGAATAGAGATGTGATGACCATTAAATGTAACGTCATGATTTGAGGCGTCGCGTGACAGTTCACGCAACGCTTAAAGCGTGTCATGTAAAAGCCTTTAAAATACACTGAAGTCAGAGACCAATTCCTAAATTAATTGAGAGTGTCTTGGGGTTTACCAATCTTTCTACGGAGACTGAATAACTCAAAATGATTATTAAATATTTCAACAGCTCGTATTTCAGTTACATTTGTCGTAAATCGGAATATACCATTGTTACAAGCAGATATTAGAGCTAAAAAATCCTCAAACAAACAATCCCCTCTGATTTTCACAAAACGCTGAGAAGAGTTCTGTTCCATCCAAAAAAAAACATCCCACATCTCTGCCTAGTCACAATCAATCAAAATACAACGAGAAATAAGACATTTACAGTAAAATCCAAAGTTTAAAGTTTGTCGCATTCATTTGACAAGGAGGCAAAACTTCGTTAATGACTGATGACAAAATGCAATGCCCATGGTGTTATCGAAAACAGTTTATACAGATTTTAAAGATCGGGGGAAAAAATGACAGCAGAAACACAAAAGTCACACGTCCAAAATAGAGTGACGTGTTGTGTAACAGTTCGCGAAGCCTTTAAACAGTGTCACGCAATGAACTTTGCAAAAACATCTTCCATCAAACTGGACTCTGAAACATGCTTTAAATCACATCCTTCAGAGTTCCAGGCCAACGGGCGTTCGAGGCACTGGGCTTTTTCTTTCCTCTTCTTCTTCTTTTCTTTAATGCAAGGGAGGCGTGCAAGACATGCGAGATAAAAATTTGGTGAGCTACCGATTTATTGATCCTTCCGTTCAAGATGACCAACCAGGAGTAAACAGATTTCCATTTGAAGTAAGAAGAAACACCGACGATCAATCTGTAAGCTTCAAACTGCAAATTCCTTCTTCTGAATGAACACTGAGAAAAGACTAAAACTATTCCATCGCGATATGTTCAGGGTTAAGAACAGTTGTCTTTCCCTGTCTGATATTGTACCCAGAACGAGAAAGAACACTATTAAATAAACAAAGAATCCCCCCTCAAAGTCAGGGACAGGGAAAAAAAGTTAAAGAGTTCGCTATTTCTATAGTGAATATGAAATACGAAATAAGTTTCGAAATTTAGAGCATTCATGCAAATCGCAGAAAAATAACATTGATTAGATACAAGTATAAGATAACCAATATCAGTAGGGTTCCCTACAAACGTGTAGGATAGCTCAGAAGTGATAACAAAGGTATTCTATTCTTATAATAAAACATAGTTTGATAAAGTACCGAAAGGACTCAAGATTTAACCGAATGGTGTCACTAAGGGTTTACTGCATAACCGATTATTGTGGATGTCTTGCATTTTCTGAGTTCTATACGTCCTCTAGCACACCACTCTGAGTGAAAGTCCAACACACCCTTGAGCTTGAGCCAACATCGGCCTGCAAAGCCTTATATTGAAATGCAACTCTCCACAGCATGAAACAATTAAAAGTATGGCTTAGTTCTCCCCCCTGATACATCGAAGGGTCAATCCTAACACTCACTGGGCTACAGTGACTGCTCACAGGCACTGATACACAACCCTAGGTAGAGATTTCTAAAATCTGATTACTCTGAAACTCAGAAAACCGTAACACTAGAAATACATGAGAATTGTGACTGGGTTTTCAAGGAAAAAGCCAATCGGGTTTAAGAAACAGCAATAGTAACCAGTCTCAGGATTTGAGATTTGCTCGCGTGTCTTGTACTTTAAGGAGGCCAGTCAGTGCGCAACTGGACCATCAGAAGTTCTGTCAGAATCAAATCATCATCATCATCATTCATTCAATAGTAGTATATCTACAAATTCAACGATATGGTTGGGCGAGGAGACCTCCAAGAAACCACCAAGCTTCTAGAGGGGCCTAACTCGGTTGTCAGTATGTTTGTAATTAAGTTGTGGGTGTGGGGCTTGGTCGATGGATGTTGGGTGAGAATTCCAAATTTCAGGGCTTTTGGTAGTGTTAACGGTTTTCTGAACTTAACATTAACACCACTACCATTTATTGAATCTGAAACCTATACAGGAATGGTTCTGATGTTGTTTCCCAAACTAGGGCCTTGCGCAAAGAAGGCACTGTTCACTACAAGTTTATCATAGGAACTTCGCCCTGAATTACAGCGTAACAACATGACACCGCGTGATCATCCACTCGGAATATGTGTGCTGCATGCTTTGTACAGTACGAATATGGACGATTACGACTTCCTACGACCTTCGAAATATGCAAATTAGAAGAAGTCTTTCAACGCCACCTCTGTTATGTAACTCCTTCTAGGGTGAAACTTCAAAACAACCCCGTATCAATCTGTGGGTTAACAGCTTACTAGAAGAAATGAGCCTGGAACAGGGAAACAGTACACATCTTCGTCTACCTTGTTTAATACAGTGTGTTCTCGATCCCAGTTTTTAGGAAATGTAACGTGAAAAAAACAACCAGTCGACTGAAGGATACATCCTTAAAAACGCTTACAATTTGTCATTTTGGCTTTTCGACCCACATTTACTCTGGACTTGGAGCTATGTGTGCGATAATAACAAAACGTTGCTGAAGAAAATTTTTTACTTCGAATGTTGTTGGACAGCAACCAAGTTGTGAGTCTAAAAATTTGCCCACTGAAAATTAGTTCTTTCGTCTTCGCATTCCAAGTTCTCCTTAAAACGTAAAATTAGAACCAGATGATTTGTAGGAAGACTGATGGAACACAGGTATCAGTCACGTTTAAAAACTGATCCAACTTCTACCTTTCAACCCGCTCATAATACACATGTACAGAACCCTTTAAAAAAAATGCGACGAGAAAAAAACAAGGACATGGTCAAGTATTTCTTAATCAAACCAATTTTCTCACTCCCAGTAGAAGCAAAACAAACAGCGAATCTTCTGGACTGAATAACCGTTGTGTTCTCTACGAAGGTAACTGTAACATTCTGTGAGTAACGGTGCACCGACATTCTATGCATAAAATCGCTGGAGGAACGAGTTTCACCGGCCATACTCACGAACCCTCCCTAACGCCTATTATTCAAAGAGAGTTAGTTCTACCACACTAGACTACTAATATTCCCTTCCCCTCTTAAATGTACACGGTGAAAACGCAGTCTGGATCCTGCAAACAAGTTATCTCATTTTTAAAATTTGATTCCCCGAGTCCAACAGTCTACGTGTCAGAGCGACAGCGAATGTAGACATCACGAAGTCAGCGCGGCCCTGTAATACTAGGTAGAGCTTTCTTCGACGTTCTTCGACTGTTTCAAAGCACAGGAAACTAGGAGAAACTTGACAAATACCTGTTTACGTTCAACGGACGTGATCATTTGATCACAAGCGTGGTAACGCTTCCTCGAGGAGAGTCGTGTGGTTTCGATCCGCGAACGAACACTCTACCCCTTATCCAACAAACAAAATGGCGGTCTAACAGGAATACGTCTTGTTCTTTCTAGTCCCGTGATACGACCTCAGAACCACGTCATAATCACAAACAACATGGTGGGGTATTTTGCGACAATCAGTGACGAATTGAAAATGTGCTTTGCCTCGAGTGATGAATATTCATGCTTGAGCTAGTGGTTTCCAACCTGATTTCTCCTACATGTCGCGTAAATTTCTGGAAAAACCTGCCTAAAGCTAACCCGTACATCTGTCACGAAAACTGACTTTAAATTTCAAACGTGACACACAGCTCAGGCGAATTACAAACTCTTGATGAATTCTTAAGCACAGCGTCGAGGCGATTAAAGTTACTCAAGCATCGTCAAGGAACGCAGCGCTGCACCACAGAACAAGCATCGGGTCAAGAGGTTGAATATTGCGAATCATTAATTCTTTCGTTCTTACAGGGCGTTTTCCACTTGCAAGCGTCCTTTGCTATTTGTGTCAAGACGTGTGCAAAACACAACTTCTGTATTATACTGCCACGAGCTAATAGTATTATACATTAAGAACCGATGCACTGCATCGACCTCGCTAGACGACCCCATCCCTATTCAGTTCTGAAATTTATGCGCTGTGAGTTCGATGTGTGTTTCGCTTTTGGTTTGTAATGAGCCTGTTACTTCTCAAAGAGGAAACAAACGGTTTCTAAGCGTCGAATTTATACGCCAAGTTTCACTCTAAAAGAATACTTCCGAAGCTGCAAGCCTAATCAAACAGCCATTTACATTGCGTACTCTGAAATACGTCTCGGAATTCAGTAACTAAAAGCACATGATATCCAGTCTGTTCTCGCGTGGCGTGTTCTGTAGTCTGTGTGTTAAGCTGTTCATCTTTGACTAAAGTAAAATTACCTTCTCATCAGGGGATGCTTCTTGATTACCAGCAGAGTTTTCTTTCTCCGTTTCACCCACGTGAATCCCATTAGAGCACCTTAGAAGAGAGAAATAACAGAATATTCACACGCGATTCAGTCGATTGATCACGGAGACGCCAAGCATGTTGCTTACAAAGATTGCTCTCTTCCTTGAATGATCACACGATCGCTGCCGTTTGACACGCCAAGAACATCCCAAACATTTCGATCAGCATCGTCAGCCATACTAATGAGGAATGTAAGACAATGAACCAAATGGAAACCATAAATTGGGAAGCATGGCGCACTCGACAACTAAAGTTACCCTAATCGCGAGTTCAATTGCTTGCTCATTACCTATACGTGACGTCATGCAAGTTGCGGAGAATTTACATATTGAGTCTGCGTGTATTGTCATAGGCAAAATAAAAAAACATATATTGACTCTATAGTTATTCATTAGTCAACAAAAATAGTTTTCTCTCACTCTGCAAGGCATATCAAAATTCGTGCTAAGGTTGTTGAAAAATTACGGATAAAAGCAAACCTTTATGGTAATTTCAGGACCATCGAGAACAAAAAATTTGAGCCCGCGATATATTATCTCGTGACCGATTGCAAGATGGCGACGAAGCCAATCGTTCTTCGCTTGTTCCATTTCCTCTTCGTTTCAGCAGGTAAAACATCGACTCGTAATTCTATTTTTGAACTGAAACAACCATTAGTTGTCTTTCTTCCATATTAGATACTTTCAAAGTTGTAATCGTTTCCCCTGTGGAGCAAAATATAACATAAAATTCATTCTTAGGCTCATTATAGTTAACTTAAATATTGTTCATAACCATATCTCGAACTTCTTAGTCATCGCGTTTGATTTTCATTCTCATCGATTGATTCGATAATGCATCTAATAATTGCATTCTAAAACAGCATTTTTTCAAAGACATTACAATTTTCCTCGCTATTTGACCTAATCATAATGCTATCCTCACTGACTTAGCTGCGATGTACATGTAAATCGTAAGCGAAAAACCTTCCCACTACTTAGATTTCTTTTTTACGTTTGCAGTTACAGGCTTATTAAGGAACGGGGAGGATAGCTTCATCATTAGAGAACCAGGCAAGGTACGTCAATTCCGTTGCTTTCTTCTTTCTGGATGGTAATTATCACGTTCGAACATGGATCTTTTTGTTAAAACTGTGATCATGTGCACATAAATCTGAGACGAGCGATAACTTCGACCTACTAGTGTTTAAAGTAACGCTTCGATCGTGCTCCAGCTAAGGCGATGGTACAAATTCCTTGTTTTTCTTTTTTCTCTTATGAATAGTGCGCCTAGAACGGCGCGAAACATCGACCGTCGTCGTAGCTAACAATCTGAAGTTTCACATAGCGATCTCGTCATCGGTTTTCTTTATCCTAAGCCATCGAAAATCTTAATCTTGTTCTCTTTTTTTCTCTGCTTGCAATGCTTAAGTTTGCGCGTTTCCTTGATGAAGTGGACAGTTTTTAGTGTTATATCAGTTATGGCATATCCTTTTTGACGGACATGAATTCCTTTTCAATACACTTATCATGTGAATTGACCATTCCACTCGAAGTGACATGTAAATCCTTTTTACTTTAACCGATTTGTTGTGATGAAGAGTAAATTTAATTTTGTTTATGCGAATAATGGCACACAACACAAACCAAATTATTAAGAAGTTTGTGTCTTACAATCATGTGTCCAATTTTAAATATATTTCTGGAAGACATGTTGCTGTAATAGTTAGCAGAATAGAAGTCATATTTGAGTGTCCAGATTCAAGCTCTGGTGAGGGTCATTGTGTTCTATTTTAAATGCAGGCCACTTAACTCTTACCGTGCCTGTTACCTCACTGGAATGTAAATAGCACCATTGAAAAGACAGTGAGACTTGAAGATAGGCTGGTGTGTGATGAGAGGGAGGAGGGAGGGGGCTACTATGGAGGGATATTCCATCCTACGTCTCCACAAATATATTTGTCAAATAAAAATGGCCCAAGTACACAATGCTCAAAAAACATACCTTTTCACGTTTCTAGATAAAGAGATACTTATTGGTCTGTAGACCCAGCTGTATGAAGAGTTTGTTAAAGCCCTTGTAGTGTTGTACTTTGAAATGATAGGTAGACCTTAAAACATTTATCTTAACCCTTTAACTCCCAAGATCTCATTAGTAATTCTCCTTACAGTATGCACACAGTTGTTGTGATGTTAGTTTGGAGGATCTGGTATTGGATCAACTTATAATCCCTTGATTGATAATTTCTCTTTAATTTGATCGCTTGTCTACTTTATATTGTATTGAGATTGTAAGGAGAAATTCTGTCTTGGTCACTTGTGGGATTTAAAGGGTTAAGTGCAGATTGCATACAATTCATAGTGAAACTTGTCATGAGCATATAGAGATAACATTCAGAGTTTACTGTCAGTGTCCATTTCAATTGGTGGTTCATGTGTAGACAATTTTTGTTGCAGAATAACACGGCTCAACTGAAAAACTTGATACCTAACTATGTATGCATTTCAGCCTCATCAAACATGCCTTGTGTGAATCATATATGTCTGAGATTCTTTTGTTTTCTTCCTCTGAAAACGCGACACTTCCTAATTCCATTTTGGTCCAGGGTCAGTTAACATATTGCTTTGATAAGAAGGAGCAAAGTCTAATGTGTCACAATAGTAATTTGGAAGGATGTATGTGTATGTTTGACTTTAGAGGGTGAATAATCATTCTACTTGCCTGATGGGTAAGGCTTTTCCTAAGTGTGTTTACTTGTCAGCATGGCTCTACTCTTTTCATTTCATTGTATGAAAGAACAGTGTATGTGAACAGTCCAAAGGAACTTAAAACCCTTCCTTTTATATTCACCCTTCAATCTCATTTTACTTCCAAAAATGTCTATCGGTCAAGAGTTCAAGTAATTACATTAAAATGTGAAAGAATGTGACCCTATGTAAATTAAAGGCAAGTGGTCCATCACCAAAGCCCTTATCAGATTCCTGAAAGGGAAATGACTAACAGTCTTAAAACTGATGAATTCCAATCAGGTCAAGACTTCTCTCACTTCTAGAAAATCAGACCACACAACTACAACTCCTAGGTGCAAGCCATTTACTGAAATGGCTTGGATTATTGGTTATATTCTGAGTTAGATGCCAGAGTGCTTGCCTGCAGTTTTTTTTTAGTTTACATGAAGATGCTCGGGTGTTGTGATGGCATATACATGAACAGACAACTTGGGAGAGGAACTGTGAGGTTCAAACTATTTCTTGTAAGAGGGTAATTTAGTGTTTTCAACTGAGTTGATAACGTAAATTAGCCACCGTAAAGAGGTTAAAGGCTGATGATTTGAGTGTTAGCCCTTTTTCAGAGTGATTAACAAAGGGCTAATGCTCGAAAATATCAGCCTTTAGACTTTAAATAGTGGCCAATGTATGTTATCAACACAGTTGACAACACTTAATTACCCTGTTATATTCTCCCACTGACACAGCACCACAGTTTTTTTAGAAACTTACCAGTACCCCATTCCTAGTAAGGGTCTCACTAAAGATCATGATGAGGGAGTTAACAGGAATTTCTTGTTAAAGAGGGTTCAAGTTTTCAAGAATCAACGGTAGATTTCCTTTCAATCTTTCTAGGAACTGGAAGGTATAATTTTTGCCACATAATACATTAAGATCAGTAATGAACATCTTTTCTGATGACTGGATAAACATGATATAGTTTTTTTAAAACTGTACACAAGACAATTCACTCTTACTACTCATCACTGTTTCTCTGGACTGAGGCAACTAGGACTACAGTACTCAAACTGTATCAGATGCTAGTCCATCACAGGTTTTTCTTCCATAATATCCAGCTTCCCCCCCCCCTTTTTTTTTTTTACTTTCTTTTTTCTTGGGGTAGAGAGAGACAAGTTTTTCCCACTTACACAAAACCTTGTCATTTTATAGAGTAACAATTTCTGTGTTGTGCTGAACACATCATGTTACTTTCACGTGACTTCACGATTTTCAGTTTGGTGATGAGTGTGTAATTTATGAAGAGTATTTTACACACATGATATTGTTGTAAGGTGACTTTGCACAGTTAGAAGCTTGTTTGTTGATTTTCACATTAATCCATCTTTTAAAACTACTGTTTCCTCATGTGGGGCTTTTCTTGCTCCAAACATGAAGAAGTATTCGGACAGGAAAAGCTTTCTTTTTTAAGAGCGAAGTTTATACAGCAGCTCAACGGTCTAATTTTTTGCACTCTATGAATCATTAGACTTTTTTAAGCGCGAACTGCATATAATTTTAATACGAACAAAGAACACTCCATCTAGGGAATAACCATAGTAAGCGTGCTAATTTATCATGCAAAGGCATGTTACAACGAGTACATTAGAAGTTTTCATTTAAAACAGTAAAAACGAGTAAACGAAATGCTAGGTTGAATTGATATTTGACTGTTTCATAGTGAGACGTTGATGTCCAAAGTTTCAACAAAATTGAAATCTCTTCTGTCGTTTTTGTATATTTCTTTTTAATGATTTTTCTCAACGTATACCCCATTCACACCCAAGCTAAATCGCGTTTTGAAGCTGTTTGTCAAACACGGTTTGAAATTTTTTTCTTCACTTTAGTCGCTTAAACTCCCTTTTGTCGTCTTCAACTTTAGCTGAATGAAAATTTAAAGTTAGTAATTATTGGGACCCTGTGTAAAATTTAGTCCTTACTTTTCTATTGCTAATTTTTATTCAGTCCAACCCGGTTAAAACAAATTTTTTTTGCTTTGTGAATGGGGTATTTAGTTAAGGATTTACCCGGCGTCTGTTTTCCTTGTTAAACAAAATGATATTACACGAAACAGGCCATGTTACCGTGACTGAGGCAAATTAGAAAACGTTTCAACTATGTTGCCTCGTTGCAGACATTTGGAAAGAAAATTCAGGTATTGCATGTCGCTCTTTTGGGTAATGTTATGGCTGGGAAAATTCAAATCTTTGATGCATTTTATATACTAAAAGATCTCAGAATATTTTTTATATTTAGAGGAACCTTTTTAGGAAAGAATGTTATAGTAATAATCAATTATATTTTAATGTCAAAAGGAGATTTTTTAGAAGTGTTGGAAGATTTAGTTAATGATAATTCGTCTAATTAGGAACACTATTGTTGATAAAACTTCACAGAATTTCCGGTTTTGATACTGATTCTTTGTGACCGTAATATTACGAGAGAAGAGACTTGCAACGTGAGTAAAGATTCACTTTGCAAGGTGACAGCTACTGACTGATATTTCAAATACCTGATAGTGGCCCTCTTATAGTTTGTCGAATCGTTAGTAATTATTATGAATAGTTTTTTTTCAGGGATTCCGTCACCCGCACGATGAAACTTCGCGATGAATTGTTACTTCTGAGTTCAAAACATTTACTGTTTTTTGATTAATTTACCTTCGAAATGAGCCTTGAAGCGTTTTATTTACCCCTTAATGTAAATGAGTTAGAAGTGACCTCTCCTCAGAATTCCAACGCATAATCCAGAAGTCTTACCGACAAGGACAGCCCAGCAACCTGCCTCTACTATTCACTTGTATGTTTTTTAATGTATTGAACAATCCTTTTTCCCCCCTAGAATTCAGATGTATCCAAGTTTATCATTGCCCACACCCCAAACTATGTGACATTCCTACCAAACGCTGGAGCAATTCCCTCGAATGAAATTTCCGATGTTATGGCACTCGCCATGGGATTTTCTTCTACTAAGGTAAGCTAGTTTGTTCTGCCTTAACAGAGACTAAGGTTCAAGTACACGACAGGCTGTTCATGACTGGTGTAGATGTTGAAATGTGTAGTGTACACTAACACTGCTCGTTAATATCCCTCAATGGCTCCTCCTGCCCTCATGCCTTTGCTACGAAGACAACAATGAAAAATGGTCATCTCAGAGATGATAGTGAGGTTTGAATTCCAGTGAGTGATGGGAATTGAAGATAAATTTAACTTCCTAAATTTTCGTTCTTCTCCTCTTTCTCCAACGATGAATTAAATGTAAATCGAGTCGATCTTTTGGCCCTTGACTCGAATGTTAGACATTTTCCCCAAACTTGAAATCAAGACTCTTCTTCATCCTAAATTGTGTATTGATAGCGTTGGGGTCATTAATGTCCATAGGAATTGAGCTGGGGTGGTTTGCTAGCAGGAGATGTGTTCCGACGACCCAAAGCTAATGTGCTGATTACGGTTGATGGCGTTACAAAAGGTACAGTAATTTACGAGGCTATTTTAATGTAGTTTTTCTGCTTCTGTGACAATTATGTAAGTTCGTCGTAAAGGAAGACGTCAACTTTTTACAACGAACTTACAAATACTTTTCCTACACACAGGTTATTGATGTGAATCTTTTCTCCTTTTTAATTGAATATTGTCGTTAATCTTGACGCTGTTTAGTTTGGTTAATCTTTTTGTTAGCTTTTTAAGTAAAATATTTTTCTTTTGTTGTTTCTTAATGTGCGTGTTAGATGACAATTTTGACCTACCAGGAAGGGCTGCGTCATATCCCGTAGCAGAGGTATGTGAATGCAGTAGACTTTCCAAAAATAAATAATTATGTGGAATTAGAATTTGACCATCTTGCTTGTGGTCTCAATCTATGGACCTCTCGTAATGCGCTGGCCTTCCACGTTGGGTAAATTTTGGGCCCACGCCCCTGAGGCCATCCACTACCTTGTGCTCTAAGGGAATAGATTGAGGCTACAAAGCTTCCAGGTTCGTTTGTCCGATTTCAACCTGGATGGAAAATTTCCTATGTGGACACTCTGGCCTGGTTTTTGTGTCGAAACTTGAGGGTCACTCCATGTTCACCATGTTAAACCGAGCAGAAATTTCTCATGTGCACCGAGGTGGCCCTGTAGTCGGGCGGATGTGGAAAAGCTAACGATCATTGTTAACAGTTTCTTCCATAATTATGCTACAACTACTAAAGCTGTAGAAGGGAGATTTAGAGCGACGAGAAATTAACCTTCGCTGTCACCTTGTTGAGGAGAGACTAAAAGAAAAGTGAACAATTTTTTTCATTTCTTAGTTTGAGGGTGTTGTGAGTTTGGCTGGAATTCTGTCCACGTCAAGAGCCACACACGAAAATCTTCCGACGCGCGTGGCCAATGTGTTCGGTGGCAAGTCACTTACAGTTTCCATGTCTGGAAGTGAAGTGGTAAGTGACGCCTTGTGTTGTATGTCCGTTCCTATGCTATCAGGTGCTACAGGCCATGGGGTGTA